AGGAGCTGTGCCATGGCCATGCCTGCAAAGCATTGCCCACCAGCCAGGTGTTCCTCCCACAGCTGGTGCCAGGCTCACTCTGCTACCCATGGGCTCCTGCAGGCAGGGACCTCTAGCTGAGTTTTGCAGATGACCACTGCTTTTTGAAGGCCCGTTGTGTACCAGGGGCCTTAAATGCATTGAATTTTCCTAAAACCCTACAAGGCACATTCAAGGAAACAGGCTGAAAGGCCCAAGAGCGTAAAGAAGGCCAAGCTGGGATGGACGCTAAGCTGCCCCACGAACCCACAGTGGAGCTGCCTGGGTCCCCAGCTGCTGCAGACACCGAGCCTGAGGGTGGCGGCCAGCTCAAGCTGGGCTCGTCCACCTCCTCCTGGGCCCCTCCCTGGCTCCTGGTGGCGTGCTCAGGCCGCCATGGCTCCCTTGCCTCCCTGTGCTCTTGGCGTCTGCACCTCCCGCCGCAGGAGAGCAGCCCCGCGGGCCCGCCTGCTCTCTGCAGAAGGAAGGACGGTTCAGTTTCTCATACAGCCGCCTGGTCGGGCTCTAGCCTTACCTTACAGAATACGAACTGCTAGCTAATCAAGGTCTTTATCGCGGCTTAACCCCCGCAAGGCGCGCGGCACACGGAGGCGGCATGCCAAGGGAAACCCACACGGCGGGTGGCCCCGTGGAGCTGGCCTGCGGGATCACGGGCGTGGCCTGGGCCAGGGCCAGCCCGGGCAGGGGCTGGCGGTGCACCGTGAAGGAGGGGCGGGACGCCTTGTGCGGGAGGGAGGCGAGCTTGATGGATAGAGAGGCGTTAGCAGGTGGCAGAGAGGCAGCAGAGGAAGCAGGTAAGAAAGCTTGGTTAGCCGGGAGGGGCGCGAGGTTCTGCAGAAGCACAGGCTCAGAGTTAGCCGGGAGCAGCGCGGGGGGAGGAGGCAAGGCGGCGTTAGGAGGTGGGGGTGCGTGGAGGGTGGGCTGCCCCAGAGGGGGGCCGGCCCAGGTGCGGAGGGGGCAGGGGCGGCCTCGGCTCCGCAGAGGACGGGGCCTGAAAGGAAGAGGCCGGGGTGCCGGACACCGCCTGCAGCGGGGTTAAGCTCAGCGTGGCGCTGCGACACGCAGCCCCACTGCCGAAGCTGGCTCCGAACGGGTGAGCGGAGGCGGGAGGCACCGCGTGGTTAAGGACACCTGCAAACAGGAGAGAAAAACTCAGCTTCAACAGGCGGGCATCTCGTCAAGCAAGAGAAGCGCGCACGAAAAGGGGCGGACGGCAGCTGCGGCTCCGCGAGCCTCACGGGTGCAGGGCGAAGCAGCAGGCAGCAGGGGCAGGCGCCGGACTTACCTGCCACGCGGCTCCAGGCCACACCCCCACCCCCGGCTCCCAGGCGCGAGCCAGGGTCTCCCCGCCTGTGCCCAGCAAGGAGCCGGTGGCGACGGGCCCGGCCTGTGGCTCCTCTCCACCCCCGAACGAGCCATGGTGTGTGCGTGGCACCACGGCCCCCCGTCCTCCCTGGCGCCAGCCCCCGAGGCTGCCCGGAGCCCAGGCTGCGTCAAGCCTGACAGGTGACCTCCACGGGGAGGAGGGAGGGCCCGGGTCACGGCGCCGGCTCCCCTAGAAGCAAGAGGGATGCCGTCAAGCCAGAGAGCCTGGCACAGGCCGACTCACGCCTGAGTGCTCGGCCCACACGACAGTCACACCTGCGTTGTTGGGTGAAAAGGAGCGAGGTGGCGGGTGCAAAGTGGACCCAAAGGGATATGCGGGCGTGGCCTCTCCCCCATTAGGGGCCTGGAAGGGAACCTGCGAACAGCAGTGGTTAAACCCAGCAGTCCCGGAGGGCGTCGGCGACAGTGTGCGGCCCAGGTCTCGACCCCCAGCAGGTCCCTCGGGACCTAGCCGGCTGGAAGGGCACTGCCTACCTCCAACTGCGCCGCCGGCCACCCCGGAGGAGAAGCTGCCCATGGCGTGC